TCAACATATCCCTTGAATTTGCTTAGAAGATTGCTGAGAGTTGTTAGTTGGCATTGTCATTGGCCCCTGCCTCAACTGCCGTTTTGATGGTGTTGATCCTGTTTATTATATTGTTGAGTCCATAGAGGGTATCTGGGTCTGGGATATAGCTGGCACCTGTATTGTCGCCTTCTTCTTGTTGCAGGATTATGAATGCCCAGAGATCTGAGGGCTGCTCAAGAATCCTTCATGGAGTGCAGCATGCATTCCGTAGAGCCTCCACTGCGAAGAGCCTCTACTGTGGGCTGGATTTCTTTAGGGAAGGCAGCAGTGTTGGACCATGAGGCTCTTAGTATCACTACAGCTGTTGCTGTAGAACAGGCCACTGCATTAGCTGCATCTAGCGCAGCTCGTAGGGCTATCCCTGAGATTGTATGGCCCTCCTGTATCACATCTTTAAACTACTGCTTTTTCGCCTCAGATATCTAAAATAAAAGAGTTTCATTTGGAATAATTTTGATGATCGTATTTGCTTAATAGTGCCACATAATTAGTGACTCAGAATTGCAATGTAGAAGACATATACACTTTGCATCCAAAGAGGTCCACCCTCTTGCTATTGCAAGCAGAGGGGTTGGATCTAAAGAGTTGTTACTTAGTCTTTTGATGTGCTGCTTCCACCACCAGAGAATTAGACACAGTATGCATAAAAAGAAACTCTGATCTCTTGGGGAAATATAATATTTCTTGTCAGTTCACTTGCATGTTGGGAGGGCAATTGCTGGTTGGGTTAATTGGAAGGGCTATCCTGGAAGTTGTAAGGGTTAGTAAAATATCAGTCAACTCTTGCTGGCTCCCTGATACCTCGGCGACGTCTACACTGGCACGATTTTCCGGAAATGCTTTTAACAGAAAAGTTTTCCGTTAAAAGCATTTTCGGAAAAGCATGTCTAGATTGGCAGGACGCTTTTCCGCAAAAGCACTTTTTGCAGAAAAGCGTCCGTGGCCAATCTAGACGCGCTTTTCCGCAAAAAAGCCCCGATCGCCATTTTCACTATCGGGGCTAATTTGCGGAAAACAAATCTCTGCGGTCTACACTGGCCCTACTGCGCAAAAGTTTTTCGGAAAAAGACTTTTGCCCGAACAGGAGTAGCGTAGTATTTCTGCAAAAGCACTGACAATCTTACATGAGATCGTCAGTGCTTTTGCGGAAATTCAAGCGGCCAGTGTAGACAGCTGGCAAGTTTTTCCAGAAAAGCAGATGATTTTGCAGAAAAACTTGCCAGTCTAGACACAGCCCTCTTGTATGGGAATACTGAGTTCAGCCGAGATGCATTTAAATAGGTTCTGGAAATGCGAAAAATCATCTGCTGTGGTGAGGGGGTATCACTGCTTCATCCAAAGATGATGTGTTAGTGTCAGGTGATGCGTCTGGTGGGGGGGTCAGACTGATCCCCGAGCATTGCACACAGTCGCTAAGGAGGGAGATCGTGGTGGAAGAGAGTATTGAGGCACAGAAACATGTTTACGTGAATGGTGGTGTTTACGTCAAGGCTGACAGGGACTCCAGTACTGCCACTCTGGGTAGGGCACGGAAGGTGGTACCCATGGGTTGCTGTACCAAGGTGGCATGTTGCGGTGCCTGGTGTGTGGAGGATGAGTCCTTGCTAAGTACACTAAATAATATGGGGGAGGGGAGCTGTAAGGTGAAAACATCACATCCACCTCCTCATCCGAGTCACTAGAAAACCTTTCTGGAAATACTTCCATTCTCAGGGCTGAGGTACTGAGAAAAGGTCAACTGAAAGTTGAGGAGACTAAAAGGTTTCTGTGTTGTGTATATGGCTGCACCAGCGTAGATGGTGCTATGGTGAGCTGCACCGATGCAACTTGTGGTGCCGTGTGATGTCTTGGGACCGAGCAGCGAGGAGAAAGTGTTGGTGCCATGTCAGTGCTGACAGCAGTACCTGATGATGTGCTTAGCACCAGAAGGTTGCTGTGCTATCAAGGTAACATCAGTTCTGGCTGTTGCCATGGCACTAGAGGCACGCGACTTCAGGCCCATGGTCTCGGAGTGAGACTTTGTATTTGCCACTCTTATGACAGTGCTGGTGGTGCCGGACACGCCCGGTGCATTGTAGGTACTGAGACACTGTGCCGGAGATGATGGTTTGGGTGCTAAAGCCTTCTGGGGCAATGAGGAAGTGTGTTTTTTTACAGATTCTTTTGTCTTTTTGCACCTGGCGCTTATCAGATTGTTGGCCAGGTCCGAGGCTGGTCTTAGGGACTTTTCAAGTAAAATCAGCTTGAGGGGTAGATCTCTCTCATGCTGCGCCCTTTTGTTTTCAATTTTGCACAATGGGGGCATTTTTGTGAGACATGAGCCTCACCCAGGCAGTGGACACATTGAGTAAGTCCATCCGACCCAGGGATTGGATCTTTGCAGGAAGAACAATGCTTGAAACTCAGGGAACCGGGCCTGGCACTTGCTATTCCTATCTATCAACTGGGAGAAAAAACTTGGATGAAAAAACTTAAAATAAACAACTACAAATAACAACAACTAACTAGGAACAGGTAAAACCAGGGAAGAACTGGATTTCTTCATCTAACACACGACTGAGGTTGGGGACACTGCCGAGCTCCATGTATGACCGGAGGCAGTAGCGAAGGAACTGAGGAGAAGGGGCTCATGCATGCACGATGCCTGTACAATAGGAGCATGCGGCTTGAGGTGCATGCATACACGATCCTATGGACATTGCTCTGAAGACTCTTGAAAAGGAGCTCAGCAGCACACTGCCCTAATGTGGTACAACTATGGGGACATCTCTTGAAGAAGACATGGGAGAGACAGACAACAGAAAGCTTTACTAATTTTTGATTGATCTTGTAATGATTAACTTTTTGTATTTAACTTATTTTAATTATCCTGGATAGTTACCTTGGAAAATTAGTAATCTGCTCTCTGCCTATACTATTATTATATTTTGAATAAAATACACACTCACCACTACATCTACAATGCCTGTTGCTGCTATAGCAGCTGCGACTAATGTGTTTCCTCTTTCCTCTGACCTGATTAAATCTATTGTTATTGTTGTAGGCAACTATAATGAGTGATGGATACGTAAAAAACATAATAAATAAAAGCAGGAATAATCTCTTTTAAACATTAGCTTGAAAATAGGAGGACAGTAAAATGGAAGAATGTATAAGGCACAAACATATCCAAGATGAGAAACATTTTGTTCTGCCTAAAATGACAAATCTCTCACATCTATTTTTATCTTTCTGCTCTTCACAAAATGTACCCACTCAGCAAGTGTGTAGAGCAATTGGTTTTAATGCCTTTAACCTTTTTGTTAAACTAAAAATAAAGGTAACAAGGGAAATAAAAAGAAAACATGTTGTAATGATGAAAATTTGTTCCAATATGAGGTACAGAAAGACCTGTATTTCAAAGTAGCATAGAAAGTCTAGTATTATTTTGCACATCTTACTGCATCTGTGTTTCTGAATCCTGTTGAAAATATATTTTTAAGAAATGGTTTATATAAAGTTTTTAGTACAATATTGAACTATGGAAGTTTAGTTTATTTCAATCTAATGCCTGAATTGATTATATTGACCAAGATACATAACAGTTAATCAGATAAGGTCCAAGTTTTTCTCTCAAGCAGTCCTAGTAAAATTATTTTTGAAACCAATATTTACAAAATTATTCATTTTTACTAAGAAGTGAAGAGCTATTGCTCTTTGGAGAATTTTCATCAACATCAAACCACTGATGACTACATACTTGTTTAGTTTCCCAAGAAGCAGTTATGGCATTCAAACATGGTACACAAGAGACCTGCCACACAGTTCTCAAAGGGATTTGATTTGGAGTTAATTTTATTCACTCAGTTTTAATTCTGTATATGGAGCCACATCCAATTGCCCAGTGCCATCATATCTATGCCTTTCTCACTATGGAAAAGGCACATGAGAGAGGTGACATTTTCTTCTCTATTTTTAGTAGTTGAACCACTGGCAACGAGTATTAATACTCTATTACTATCCAAGGAATTAAGTTCCACTAACTGAACTACCGACTGTGCCTCTTTACAATCATCTTGCAATCTTCCAAGATCCTAAGAATTCCATACTAGGTATCTGCAATCGATTAATGACCTTAGGAAGTTCTCAAGATGCTGTGACAAGTGACAGAAACAGAGCTGTCTTGGTAGCTCCAAACCTGTATACCAGAGCCCAACTTTTATTATTACAATCTCTCACGTATCTCAGGATTTGAATTCATTCTAACCTCAGAATTTTCATGCAAATTCATTTTGAATCAATACATAGAATCATCTTCTCTGCCATACATCACTAAGCAAGTAAAACTAACAGACAGCATTCTCACAATTAACACATTTTATATACTTTATTGCAATGCTATTATCCCTCTATATTCCAAATGACAATTTCAATGATAGTTCTTAACTGGGACAAATATTTACTCTCTTGCTATTATAGCTCACATGTGTTACGAGGTCATAGCCTTTCCCTTTGCAAAACAGTACATCAACTTGCTTATGTGGTTAATTAATTAATGATTTTCCCTTCCAAAAGAGGGCTCGAGGTAAATATTTAATGTTTGGAGTCACACTGAAGATGTGTTTATATGTATTCTTTTGGAGTATTTGCGGCCATAATTTATGCATGGTTGTTATCTTTTCTACAAAGAAATTCTAGTTTTAATACATTATAGTAAGCATCAAGATGTGTGGGAAATTTTCTGGTTCCTCACTAGTATTCTCCTTACATAGTGAACATGACTTACACAAGTGAACTTCAGACTATGAATGCATTAAACCACATCATTTTCCCTGTAAAATACCTGTAGAATTATTGAGTGTTATCTATGCAAACATGTTTTTCAACTAAGAAATGCCACTTAGCAGATTATTAAATCCCCAAATTGTTAATATTGAAATCCTAGCAATGTTCCAGTTATTTTCTGTGGAGTTACTTACCCTCAACAACAGTGAGTAGATTTCCCAAATCTGTGGTGGAATGAGAGTGTGCTGGCTCAGAATTCTTGACATTTCCCAATGGCAAAAATGGATCATAATCATTACATGAGAGATCTGCAAGGCTCAATGTGTAATGACTTTGCTGTGTATATGTGCTTGAGCCATAAACACAACAGTGTAACACCTGCAAGAAGCATTCAGCCAAAAAATTGTACTAGAAATAAATTATACAAAAATATATCAAGTCAAGTAACATACAATGATGAAAAACATCTATGGGGCACAGAGGGGGGAGGGATAGCTCAGTGGTTTGAACATTGGCCTGCTCATCCCAGGGTTGAGAATTCAATCCTTAAGGGGGCCATTTGGGGCAAATCTGTCAGGGATGGTACTCAGTCCTGCCATGAGAGCAGGGGACAGGACTCAATGACCTCTCAAGGTCCCTTCCAGTTCTATGAGATAGATATAGGTATTTTACTTTGGAGTGTTTGTATAGCATCCAGTACAATGGGACACTGGTCTAAGGCTGGGGCTCCTCTGAGCTAGTACAATACACTCACATTATTATTAATAATAATACATATTGTATATTAATGCTCAATATTCTTTGAGAATTAAAAAATAAAATGCTTTTTCTCTTATCAAATTATCTTTTCAGAAGTAAACTTACTATTTTAGCTTTGAAAACAAAAAATTTTAGCCTTGAAAACAAAACTTTAGCACAGATTAATCTTGATTTCAATGAAAGCAAAAGCAAAATGATATTTTTGTAGGTGGAAAATGTGTGTATGCAAATTTTAAAGCAAGACTGACTTAATGGTTGTTAAACACATTTCCAAAATCAGCACAAGTTCTATTGTGGTATATTGTTATTGTGGCTAGGTCCCCCGGGCAGCGTGGTGGCCTAGTGGTTAGGTCCTGGGATTAGCTAGTGGCAAAGGGGTGCAGCTCTTTCTCGCTGGTGCCCCAGGCCTAAGAACTCTGACCCATTATCTGAGTAGCGTTCTTAAGTTTGAGGCATGGCCCCGAAAGTCCAAATTTACCCCTCATTAGTGAGGGTTCCTCGTAGGTTCTTTCCCTTTGCCCCAGATTTTTAATTTTTTAAACTAACCTACATAATTGTGTTTAGTTATTTATTCACCCATCCAGTGATTTGAGCATTTAAATAATCACTTGTAAGACAACAGTATAAATCAGCCCCAAAATTAAGAAAAAAAAAGTAATTTAAACTCCTTTAAATTCCAAAGCTACTAAACAGACTTACTTGTAAATTTCTAGAAAATTAAATCTAAAGATTAGAGGCGAAGTTTCAATATGTTTTCATAACTAACCAATGGATTTCAACTGAAAAACTTCAATACAATTTAAAAGATGGAGTTGTCAGTTCTACTTTCATAATGCTTCTGTGCCTAACCATTCCAGGACAGGAACATTTTTACACATTTGAAAACACTGTAGGATGAATCGTACTGAATTTATTCTTCATACTCACCCTATATATATAATCAAGTAAGGGTGCTTTGGAAGAATGTTGATCTTCCAGAACAGTAGATACTGGCTCTAGTAAGGTTTTCATTGGTAGTGCCATGCACCAATCCAACAAGCAAAGTAATAATGAAACTATAAACTGAAGAGAAACATGCAAAAAATACATAAGCAATACTCATCAGATTAATCAAAACGTTTCAAGATTAATTTGATATTTTAAAATAAGATACAGTAATATGTAGTTCAAGCAGCAAAAACAATGACGGAGTTTGTGTTTTATGCCACATACCTTTTTATCTGTTTCGACAGAGGAGTACTCAGCACTTGGTAAAAGAAATGCAATGGTGGCCACAAGAATCTGCACAGAAATCAAACATACAGGCAAACAAAGTTATCCCAAACTTGTTTGTTTAATATAAATACAAGGCCTGAAACACTAACCTTCAATAGGCTTTGGATGAAGGCTATAAGGGTACATCTACACAGCAGCATAATTTTGAAATAACACAGCCTACGTCTACACAGAAAACACAATTGACGTAGCTTAATTTGCGTAGCTTATTTTGAGTTAAGCCCTCCTGTGTAGACACACCCTAAAACACCACTTAGCAGCCATTTTTGTATGAAACATGTGAGCTTGAGTTCCACATTGTTAGCAGGCTCTAGAAATAGGGGGGGGGGGGGGGAAATCACACTGGCTCAAGCAAACTGCAATAAAGAACTCTCCTAACAATGACTTCAGAAAGAAGTAAAAAAGTTAGAGTTCTATTATTGTAACTTTCAACTGTTAACTTTGAAACTTTTTAAATTTTATGAACAATCAACACAGAACATTAGAAATGTTATTTTCAGTTCCTATATATGAATATATTAAGAGATAAGACATACTTCAGTAATTTTCCTGGATAGAGAAGATTCATGCTTCTGAAGCTTTTCCCAATAAGAAACTAGCAGCTGAAGAACATCACAGGCTACCTGAGCTACCAATTTATTAGAAAACTGTAAGGAAAAAAATTAAAATTAAATCAAACAGTATCATGCCAGAAAAATATTCACATAATAAATAAGTAATGTCAGAGTTGTTACTATTTTAAACCGTACTACAGCTATAAAAACTACATTAGAGAAAGATGACAATTACTTGTAACTAGAGTTCTTTGAGATGGCTCTGCGCATGCTCACATTTATGGGTTTTGTATTGTCTAATGGTGCTTAACTGTAGAACCTTCTACAAATAGTGTCTATCAGTGTGTTCACATATATTCTCCTAGCCCACTCCCTAGCACCTTTGAATGTTTTGAAAATGATACTATATAAGGGGAAGTACACTCTACCACCTCAGTTCCATTGACACCAACCCCAAAAGACACAATGAAAAGGGCTCTGAGAAAAAGGGGAAGGTAGATGAAAAGTGTGAATATGTAGAGCCCTCTTTAAGAATTCTGGTTTCAAATAATTAGCTACCTTTTTTTTTTTGATGGCTTTGCATATTGACACTTACGGGTAGCTTGATAAGTAGTGCAGAAATTAATCCAAAAGAAAAAAAATAGATTCCAAAGAGGAAGGAGCTACACTATTGTCTGTGGTGGCAAATGACAGAACAAGAAGCAGTAGTCTCAAGTTGTGGTGGGGGAGGTCTAGGTTGTGTATTAGGAGAAACTACTTCATTGGGGGGTGGTTGAAACACAGGAATAGGTATCCTAGAGAGGACGTGGACTCTCCATTCTTAGAGATTTTTAAGGCCAGACTTGACAAAGCCCTGGCTGGGATGATTTATTTGGGGTTGGCTTTGCTTTGAACATGGGGTTTAACTAGGTAACCTCCTGAAGTCTCTTCATACCCTAATCTTCTATGATCCTATGAGTCCTAGCTAAACTGAGAACATGAATCATGATGTGCAAAGCTCTGTCCTGAAAATGGCAGGGATCCTGAACTATAAGGCTACGTCTACACTGGCCCCTTTTCCGAAAGGGGCATGCTAATTTTAAACTTCGGAATAGGGAAATCCGCGGGGGATTTAAATATCCCCCACGGGATTTAAATAAAGATGTCCACCGCTTTTTTCCGGCTTGGGGAAAAGCCGGAAAAAAGCGTCTAGACTGGCCCGATCCTCCGGAATAAAGCCCTATTCCGGAGGATCTCTTATTCCTACTTCAACAGGGATTTCCCTATTCCGAAGTTTAAAATTAGCATGCCCCTTTCGGAAAAGGGGCCAGTGTAGACGTAGCCTAAGAGCACTCAGATATGGCCCTGCCCCAACTACTGTGTGACACATCTCAAGTTACCTGCACGGATGGTGAAGGGGGACAGAACTGGATATCTCTGAATGTTTGCTCTGATTGACCATCACATCAATGATTCTAGAATGTATGACTAATATCTGGAGATCATCATAGACAGTCAAAGCTGCAATGACTTCAGTGCGAGTTGTGCAAATGTAGTGCCGTCCGTAAGACTCACAAAGAAGGTTACTTTCTAATTGACATATTGAACATATTATTTATTCTTAAAAAAAATGGTCCTCTATTGAAAAGGCTTTTTTCCTGCTACCAAGTCCAATATGGAGCCTATGAATAACATTTTCTGAGTTGGTCAGGGATTTGACTTTGACATTTGCAAGAAGTCCCAGTTCTAAAAAAAGTGGCTTAATAAGTCATCACAAACAGCCTTTAAAAGACAATCAATAGAATAGGGTAAACAAAAATACCCTGCTTTCTCAGTGGAGCTTCTATGACAGAGAAGCACTTAGTAAAAACTCTTGGGGTTGTGGCCAGCCAAACAACCCTTTATACTGGAAACGGTGTATTCTGAAATGATGTTATTCTGAAAAAACAAAGAGTGCATCTGCACTGCAAGCCATTATTTTGAAATAATGGTGAGCTGGAGGACTTCTTACTCTGACTCCCCATGCCCCTTGTAAAATGAGGGTTACAGAAGTTGAAGGAAGAGTGTGTTTCCTTCAACTTTCTGCTGTGTAGACAGTACTAAAAGCCAAATTAAACTATTTTTTCCTAAGCTACGCAACTGATGTAGCTGAAGTTGTATAGCTTAATTCAAGTTTTGCCCTGCTGTGTAGATGTATCCTAAGAGAGTTAGTGCATGAAAGACAAGCCACGTTCACCACATCTGAGAAGCAGCTGGAGAACATGTGGAAGGTCCTGAAGAAACTTTATATCAAGCATAATCAGCAAATTCCTGATAGTGCCCTAAGTATTTAAAAAACAAGCTTGCAGACAGATAATGTTGTAAGCATACTGAAGTGTGCAATTCATAAATAACCAAATAATGAGGATACACAACTGGTACACATCTTAATTTTAAATTAGAAAAGTACATAATCATACGTTGGGTGAATATTTCAAGTATCTAGAACACTTTGTTCATACAAATGTTTCCTTTGTCAATCACACAAACACAGTTCATACTAATACCTTTAATGTGACACCTATAACATTTATTGCATCCTTCACTTGAGGATGGTTTGTGCACTGTACTAGTTCTTCACATATCCAAACGCCAAGGCAGCAAACAGCTATACACCTTTTAAAAAGAAAGGGGAACAATGATGCAGTCGTAAGATTAAAAAGAATATCCTCCTCCTTTAATATTTCTCTCTCTCAAAGATATATTTTGGCAGGTTTCATAATGATTTCTGAATGGCACAGTACAGGTCAGTTTTAACTGATAGAAGATTTTATGGCTAATTACAGAAAACAAACTCAAATGAAGAGTTTGATACTAACTGAATGTCAGTCAACATGGGATACCCTCTCTCTGCCTTCAGGTTCTGGGACTGGAGGGTGGCTGAGCAGACCAAAGAGGTGTTCACCCGGTGTCACACCTCTTATGCCTCTTGGACACCAGGGATTTGGAATGGTGCTGTGTCTTGCTGTGGTGTCTAGGATCCACAATGCTGGTGTTCTTTGGAAGAGTCCTTAGGTTGTGAGGTATCACGTACTGATGCAGGGATGCTATGCACCAAAGAACTTGGGCCTAGTGCTGCTGGCCTGAGCTCTGCCTCAATAACTGCCATATGCAAAAGTCCCTTTTTTTCCTTCGTGCCCAACTTGAAAGATTTTCAGATGTTGCAGCAATTTGTCTGATGTATTTCCCACAGACAAGGCAGGCAAGAGTTGTAACACTCACTGTTGGGCATAGGCTTATGGCAGGAACCACAAGCCTAGAAGCACAATGCCTGAAGTGTATGGCAGTGACTACCTACTATCTAATAACTACAATGAACACTTAACTAAGAACAATGCAAATGAACAACTAATGAACTGTAGCTAAGTGCACTTGTGGAGCAAACAAGCGATGTTCCAACACCTCTACTGACAGTAAGAAGCAACTAAGAGAGGGGTGGGTCAGCAGGGTCATATATAGTGCTGCATATTAGCACCACTCCAGGAGGCTCCCTGGTTGACCCTCTGGAGGCTGCTGGGGAAAAGTTTTCAATGACAATTGTGACATCTCTGCCTTACTCTTGGTGGGTCTTGCATTTTCATGCAGGTTATTTGCTTCAGAGGCTCACAGCAGCCCTCAATTTAGACACTGGCTTGCTGTTGGTTGAGCCATTAGCCATTATGGGGGAAAAAGAGGGGAAACCAAACTTCATAGTCTTTGAGGCCCAGTGATACCGGGTAGGACAAACCTTGTACCAAACTAGTCTTTTTTCTAGAACTGAAATGGGGAGCTGGTGGTGGGAGGCATCCGGGCTCACTCTCTACTCCCTGTTCCAACCCAAAGACCATGTAATAGCAGTTGTCTATAATGCTTCTGATAATAGCTGTGACAACTAGCAATCCCTGGCCCACTTTCCCGCAGCCCTCCCAAGTACCTTCCTTACTAAAGGGTCTTCCTCCTGTTACCTGCTAGCACTTTCTTCTGCTAGACTCTCCACCACACTTTCTCTTATCTGCTCCTTCCTCACACTAAGCAAACAGACAGGAAACCTTTTTAAACCAGTCTCAACTGGTTTTTAATTGGCCCCCAGGTGTTCTGATTAGTCTGGGTCCCTTGAGTCTGGAAGCCTCCGAATTGGTACCAAGTGTTTCAACTGGCCTGATTATTCTGAATGATTCTAGCAGGTTCCTTCTGGTTCTGGATCATCTTAATTAGTCTACCATGGGATCAGAGACCTATTCAATCTGGGGCTAATGTATTTTCTCTCCACTACTCTCCTGTAGCCCTCTGGCCTGACTCTGTCAGGAGGTGCACATGAAGCGTGCTGACCACCTGAATTGGAATCAATGTGAACAAGCACTCAAAGAACCACCTCTAATGACTGTGGGCAGGTAGGACAATTTCATTCCTGAAAAAAGCCCTCAGAGATGTTTTATTATTTTATAAATGACAGATGCAATAAAGGTGCAGCACACACAGAAGTGCTGATAACAGACAGATCTCTGTTTCCTGTCCCCAGCCACATAACATGGGTAGGTTTGTTACTAAAACTTGTATTCCTGTCACAAGCAAGGACTACAGTGGCTACTTCATCTTCCCATTAAAAAATAATGAACTGTAAATAAAGCATTGTCAGCCAAAAATATCAACCATAAATTAATACAAGAATAAAATAAATGAAAATAAACCCAAATCCAAACAAACTAACCAATATTTAGAATGGAGGCCAGAGAATGCAACCATATTCCCTCCAACAAATGGGAGAACCATTTTGTTTCTTAGCAATTACTTGGCAGCTACTGTTTTGGAACATTAATTTAACTTTAGCTGTCTACTCAGTACTCAAAACAATTCTTCTACAATAGCCCAAATACCCACACAGCTCTGGTGTTTTTCATTGTCAGAGACTGAGTGGGCATATTTTGCTTCTGTCAGCTTACAAGCATGATCAGTAGCATTCTAAACATCCTCCAGAGATAGAAACACGGTGTGTTTGGTTTTATTTTAATGTCTTCTGTTCCTCCTATAAGAACGGAATTCATAGGTCACTACAATATAACATCTTAGTGAGCGATGTACTGCTCTTACTTCAGCAAGTTGTCAGTCACTTAGTGTTTGAAATCTTACAGTCACACATTTACAATGCAGATAACTGTTTGGTATTCTTGTTGAGGCAACACAGGCAGCTATGTGAAAGGAAGGAGGCAGGGCTAAGGGATTAATTGTCTATATTCAAGATGCTTGTTAGATGCCAATAGACTTTTATCCATACCCTTTTAAATTGGTGACCCGCCTAAAGTATTAAAAGTTGTATTGTGCTATTTTAACATTGCTAAGTACTGAATATTTTAGTTGGCCTGGATTTTTTTTTAATCAGGTTGTTTCCTATTTTTTCCAAGTTTCCTGCCAGCCCATCTGGCGATGCAAAAGTAACCTTTGAAATCCCTTAGGAATATATAAACCACTGTTTACAAAACTGATCCATGAATCTAGCTAGGGAAAGCCATCAAAGAACAAATGTTCTCACTAATAATGGAAATAAATCTATAGTAAAGAATCCTCCAATAAAACTCTAGTAATACATTAACCAAATAAACATTTCCTAGATGAGAACATACACTTCTCTTTCACAATATTATACAGTGAATATAGAGCTATTTATATCATGTCATCTGATTTACCCATTTCAAAAATATCAACTCCTAAAAGGAGGTCCTCATGAATAGAAAACATCTTTTTATTCATTTGAATAAGTAAGCCTCTGCTTCAGATAAGAAACCCTGCTAACTTACCTGAAAAGAGCATTAGTTTACTCAGTCTTGAAAAAGCCAACAATGAGGGAGAAAGACCTTTCCAACTCTCACCCCATCTTCAACCTCGCTTTCTTAGAAAAACTTAGCAATGATGTAATATGCTCATGCTTGCAAGATTGAGCTCTTACTTGTCATTACAAACATTATTTGTAAAAACTGTATATTGCACTGAAATATATTAGGTCTGATCCTGCTGCCACTGTAGCCAAGGATAAAGCTACTATTAACTTCAGGGACAAAAGACAGTACCTGAAGGGATATTTTTGAAACTTTGTTATCACAGTCTTGATTGTTTAAATGTAAAGTTTATCATTTCTTTTAATTTAGAATCCTTAAAAGAACCTTTTCACAAAATAGATGACAAGGTCTTGTTTAAACCTATGTTCTATTCTGTGTATTTTCTGACTTTTATGAAATGTTGCTTGTAATACATCATGTTAAAATACGCAGATTTTGAGTACCCAAAAATAGATCTGATGGATTCAAATGGCTGCTTCAAAGTTGCAAGCAATGTCACTGTTGGTCCAAGGATATGAGACAAATCTCTCATGTCCTGGGTGATGTAATCTCTTTTGTTGGACCAAATTCCATTGGTGAGAGACATAAGCTTTTACACCTACACGGTCTCCTTCAGGTCTGGAAAAGGTACTCAGGGTATGTGTATACTTGAAAAGACAGTTACCTGTTTCCATAACTGGTCTTCTTCAAGAAGTATTGCCCACATCCATTCAACTTAGATGCTGGAAAATTTTCCCTCAGCAGTGTCCATAAGGGGACCAGCCCTCAGCACCCACTGGAGTAGCGCACACATATCACACTATATATGGCACCACTGGGCCCTTCCCTCTCCAGCTCCTTCGTACCAAAAACTAACTGAGGAGAAAGAGGGAGATGTTGAATGGACATGAGCAATGCATCTCAAAGAACACCAGTTACGGAAATAGGTAACTGTCTTTTCTTCGAGTGACTGCTCATTTCCATTCAACTTAGGTGACTCCGAGCAGAATCTGTAGCGGTAGATAAGAAGAATTTAAGGAAATGTAGAATTCAGTATTACCTTGCTGAAACCCATATTTTTTCTGACCAGCTGTGTAATGATATAGTGGGATGTAAACATGTGAGTTGAAGACCATGTGGCAGCCCTTCAGATGTTCACAATCGGGACATTGGCCAGGAGGGTGGCTGAAGAGGATTATGCCCTGGTTGAGTGTGCCCTCACCAGTGACAGAGGTTGAACATCTGTCAGTTCATAGCATATTTTGATGCAGAGATGCTCTACCTGGAAATCTATTGTGAAGAAACTAGTAGACCCTTCATATGTTCGGCGTACACCACAAAGAGCTGTGAGGATTTATGGAAGGGCCTCATATGGTCCAGGTAGAAAGCAAGTGCCCTCCTGACAAACAAGGCATAGTGGAGTCTTTCCTCACTGGTCTTATGTGGTTTCGGATAGCAGTCAGGGAGAAATATATTCTGGCCCAGGTAGAAGATGGAAACCACCTTGGGGAGAAAGGTCAGATGAGGTCTCAGCTGCACCTTATCCTTGAAGAAGACCATGTAAGTTAGTTCTGAAGTGAATGCACAAAGCTCAGATACCCTCCTGGGCTGATATTGCTACCAAGAAGGCCACCTTCACTGACAGGAGAGAAAAGGAACAGGAGATCAATGATTCAAAGGGGGTCCTGTCAGGCAAGATGGGATTAAGGTCCCAGTAGGGAAGGGAGGGATGAGAGCCTGCAGGAAAAGCCTTTCAGGACCTTTTAAGAACTTGGCCATTAAATCATAGGAGAATACAGATGGGCCTTGAAAGGGAGTATAAAAGACCAAGACTGTGGCTAAGTGGACCTTGATTGACACCAGAACCAGACCTGAGTGTTTCAGGTGAAGGAGGTAGTCCAGTATTGTCTGCAGAGGAGCCTCAATCGGATTAAGTCCTTTCTGAGTTGCCCAGACCGAGAATCAGGTCCATTTTGCCATATAGGTAGATCTTGTGGAACGCTTCCTGCTTTCTAAGAGGACCCACCCTCACTTCTGAGGAACATGCCTGCTCTTGCAGGTTTAATGATGGAGCATCCATGCTGTGAGGTGTGGGTGCAACAGATGGACCTGATCCTGAGACAAGATGTGCATGGGCCGAGGAGGCCATGATTGTCATACCAGAGATTCATGAGCTGAACCAGTGCTGATGCAGCCAAGCCCGTGCGATGAGAATCACCCATGCTGAATCCTGCTTGATCTTCTGTAAGACCTTGCCAATCAGGGGAAAGGGTACAAACACATACATGAGGTTTCCCAATCAAGGGAGAAGGAAGGCATCTGCAAGGGGATTTTTGAAAAATCATGGCAGACAGGGGAGATTCCAGAAGACTGGAAAAAGGCAAATATTGTGCCCATCTATAAAAAGGGGAATAAGAACAACCCAGGAAATTATAGACCGGTCAGTTTAACGTCTGTCCCAGGGAAGATAATGGAGCAGGTAATTAAGGAAATCATATGCAAACACTTGGAAGGTAATAAAGTGATAGGGAATAGCCAGCATGGGTTTGTGAAGAACAAGTCATGCCAAACTAATCTGATAGCTTTCTTTGATAGGATAACGAGCCTTGTGGATAAGGGAGAAGCGGTGGATGTCATATACCTAGACTTTAGTAAGGCATTTGATACGGTCTCGCATGATATTCTTATTGATAAACTAGGCAAATATAACTTAGATAGGGCCACGATAAGGTGGGTGCATAATTGGCTGGATAACCGTAGTCAGAGAGTTGTTGTTAACGGTTCTAAATCCTGCTGGAAAGGGATAACAAGTGGAGTTCCTCAAGGGTCTGTTTTGGGACCCGTACTGTTCAATATCTTCATCAATGATGTAGATATTGGGATAGAGAGTACTCTTATTAAGTTTGCAGATGATACCAAACTGGGTGGGGTTGCAACTTCTTTGGAGGATAGGGACATAATTCAAAATGACCTTAGCAAGTTAGAGAAATGGTCAGAGGTAAACAGGATGAGGTTTAATAAGGAGAAATGCAGAGTGCTCCACTTAGGAAGGAACAATCAGTTCCATACATACAAGATGGGAAGCGACTGTCTAGGAAGGAGCATGGCGGAAAGGGATCTAGGGGTCATAGTGGACCACAAGTTGAATATGAGTCAACAGTGTGATGCTGTTGCCAAAAAAGCAAATATGATTCTAGGTTGTATCAACAGGTGTGTTGTAAGCAAAACTCGTGAAGTCATTCTGCCGCTCTATTCTGCACTAGTTAGGCCTCAGCTGGAGTACTGTGTCCAGTTCTGGGCGCCACATTTCAAGAAAGATGTGGAGAAATTGGAAAGGGTACAGAGAAGAGTGACAAGAATGATTAAAGGTCTAGAGAAGCCTATGAAGCCAGGCTTCATGAACTGGGCTTGTTTAGTTTGGAAAAAAGAAGATTAAGGGGGGACATGATAGTGGTTTTCAAATATCTAAAAGGGTGTCACAAGGAGGAAGGCGAAAATTTGTTCCTCTTGGTTTCTGAGGACAGGACATGGAGTAATGGGCTTAAAGTGCAGCAGGGGAGGTTTAGATTGGACATTAGGAAAACATTCCTAACTGTCAGGGTGGTCAAATATTGGAATAAATTGCCAAGGGAGGTGGTGGAATCTCCCTCTCTGGAGATATTTAAGAACAGGTTAGATAGACATCTGTCAGGGATGGTGTAGATGGAGCTTGGTCCTGCCTTGAGGGCGGGGGGCTGGACTCGATGACCTCTCGAGGTCCCTTCCAGTCCTATTATTCTATGATTCTAAGGGAATCTTCCTCCAGGCTGTGCCTGGAGCCTAATTTGGGACACTTCACATTCTGCTTGGCAGTGAAGAGATCCACCTGGGGAGATCTCCACTCTCGGAAGAGTCTGGAAGTCACCTCAGTGTGAAGGCTCCACTCATGATGAGATGGGAACTACCTGCTCAGGTGATCTGCAATGGTGTTCTTGGCACTGGGAAGGTGATGGTCCTCCAGGGAGATTTGATGCAGGGTGTAGAAGTCCCAGAGTCCTAGTGCCTCCTGACAGAGCACTATAGAGCAGGCTCCTTCCTCCCTGCTGATATAGAACATTATGGCCATGTTGTTCATTGTTGGGCCACTCTGCCCAACAAGCATGGGAGAAACACTTTGCATGCCTTTTGCACCTCTCTGAGCTCTTTGACATTTATGTGGATGTTCAGCAATGCGGGATTCCACTCTCCCTGGATCTGAAACGTGCCTACATTGTCTCCCCAACCTCTATTTGAAGCGTCAGAAATCAGTTCCAAGGAATGCCATGGCTACCAGAAAGGAATGCCTAGGAGGGCTTAGACGGTAAGGCTTAGATTTCCCCGGGGTGGGGTCTTTCCTCAAAAAGGATCCACTGAGCTGTTAGGGAGGAGGCCTGAGTATAGTGTAAGTGTTATTAGTCGTTTGTTTAAAGACAGTTAGTCCCCTGTTGAGACTGCCCGGTGACAGGGCATGGTCTGGTCCTTTGGGTTTAAACGATATGCTATCGCTGGAGCACAGTTTCAAGGATTATCACTGGCAGCTAGAAGAAACTGGAGAGGGAGGAGTCCAGTAGAGCTCTATATTGTGTGGCATGAGCACACAACTCCAGGGGGTGCTGAGGGCTGGTCTCCTATGGATACTGCTTAGGGAAAAATCGTCCGGCACCAGTGCACGTGGTGAACACACACATCTAAATTAAATGGACATGAGCAATCACTTGAAGAAGAATTTTGTCATTCACGGGTGCTTAACCCTCCCTCCTGTCCATGAATGATAAAGTTTTGCCCCTGCTAACAAAGCGAACTCCCTGCAAAGCGGGTAGAATTAATTTTTTGGCAAAAGTGCCAATAAACAGCATTCAGAGAAGCTGACTTTTAACAACAAGGCTGTGTCAACATACCCTCAATGTCACAGATAAAAATAAGGTGGCACTGATTGTTTGGCATAAGTAGTTAGCAATATTTCAATGGACCGCTCAAGGCAAAATGGCCCATTAACACTCCACCAGTCATGAGGGAGGGAGGGAAAAGGGGGAAAGAAGGCACCTAACAGCAGGCTTCTCTATCCCCTTCCTTTCCCCCCTATGACTGAAGGGGTGTTAACAGGCCATTTTACCCTGAATGATCATCCACCTTGTCTCTCTAATATTCTGGAACTGTCAGTTACGATTACACTGCATAAGCAGTAGTCAGTTGGTGGACCACAGGCCATATCCAGACTGTCAGACACTTGAACAGAAAATCTTGAACCACAAAATCTTTTTATTTACTTACCATTATTGTTATTTTTGTATTATTTTCTATGGAGTCTGAACCTTGACAATACATTGACCAAGAAATTTGAAACTTAACAAAAATTAATGGATTACTCCTACCTTATAGCCACTAAAAATGTGTTAGAGTGAACACCATATTGTTTACCTGCTTTGTACATTATTCAGGACATGTTCTGTCTATCAGATTAACCTTTTTAGTAAGAAAATACATAAGACAGAATTTTATTATAATAGCTGAAAAGCGAAAATAAATGTTAAGAAAAAACTTTGTTTTTATTTAAAATAAAAGTTTTCTTATTTTGTGTAAGGATTCAAAAACATGACTTGCACTGACTGACTCAAAGAGCTTAATCTATTTATCTTAGCGAGAAGATCCAGAGGTGACTTAATACAGTGTGTATGTATCTACATGGGGAACAAATATTAAATAATGGACTCTTAATGCAGTAAAGAATGGTGTAACAAAATCCCACAGCTGGAAGTTAAAGCTAGACAAATTCAAAGTGGACATAAGGCTTACATTTTTATCAATGAGAGTAATAAATAATTGAAATAATTTATCAAGGACCACCATGGATTTTCCATCAGTGACAATTTTTAAATCAAGATTGGATGTTTTTCTGAATTATTTTGGGCAAGTTCTATGACCAGTGTTATACAGGAGGTACAGACCAGATAATCAAAATGGTGCCTGTTGGACTTGGTATCTAGGAATGAGTACAAAATCAAAAAGTCAAGAGCTCAAGGTTTGTGTGCAGGCTTATGGTCCAACTACTGATCTTGCTTACACTGTGACTGAGAGCAAAATTTGGTCACACTGTCTATGCTACAAAATAAAGTCTGAAATGTGAACCATAGACATAGTTACTTGTTTACAGGTAGATGACATAATAATAAAAAACACCCATTAGACTACAATATTCTTTTACAAGTTTCAATCCAATCAATTTTGATCTTTTACAACATACTCAGTAAAAATTTTACAACATACTCAGTTTCAAATATCCCCCAAAACATTGTTTCCCAACCTATTATTTTTTATATTATTCAAGCTGAAAGACCTCCAAAAAGTTCAGCCCTTTCATACCAAGTGATTTTGGTTTCAATCTGCCATTGTCAGACTCCATTGTATTTTCTTTTATTCAGTATTTTACCTTGCAGCTTCACAGGGCTCATCTGTGGCATTCTTCAATAGAATATTTATGAGGTAACACTAAAACAATAAAATTAATTAGAATAAACACTTTTCCCCCACAAATTACTTCTCTGTTAATTCTAATGTGCTGATATCTAATTTGGACTGGGTCACAAAGTAAAATAAATTTTCTCATCCTAGTATGCTCTCTCTAATAGATATTTGTTTCATTTCATATTTTGGCAGAAGTGAGAGAGGTATTGGTTCCAACTAAAATTAATAACATTGCGTGGATGACTAAGTACCATATTCAAATGTAGGCACCAAAATCATAAAGGGTTGATTTTCAGAGTTGCTGAGCCCCCTCTGGTCCAACTGGCAGTGCTCAGCATGTCTGAATGGATAGATTCACAGAGAAATGTAGGTAAGGTGATGCTGAATATCTCCATGCCTTATCACTTCTTAGAAAATTGCTGGAATTCACAAAGCCTGAGTATGGGCCTAAGCTCCCTATACAATGAATAGGGCAGATGACTCAGAGTGGAATTCACAAAAGCCAGCATGGTAAGCAACTCCCCACCCAAGATGCCAAGATGGAGAATGAGTTCTAAGCTCCTCCCCATGAAGGAGTTTTGTGCCTAAACAAAGTCTGGAAGGAGGTGCCTCCCCCTCTTGGAATTTTCTGGTGCAAACCCTGTCTTTGCTGTTTTTGTAGTTAGATGGAGATGGGGGGAGAAGTTCAGAAGCGGGGCTCGCTCCTAACATTTAAGACCATCAGTTAGGGTACTCCACGTGCAAGCCCTGCTCTACCTGAGTGGAGATGGAATTTGAACAGGATCTGCCACATCTCAGGCAAGAGCTCTGGGCTATGAAACATTCTTATGTGACGAGGAGTCCTGTGGCACCTTATAGACTAACTGTGGTGCTCCTTCAGTCTCTCCTGTTGAAGCTGTTCCACTGGATAAATTATTTTTTAAAAAGTCCTTAGACAGAGGGACTAGATTTTCAGTTTCCCACCTCCCAGGTGTGTTTCCTC